CGTGCCCTCATTTTACCCCCATCCCTTTATCTATATTCATGTACTGAGGGGAATATCTGCACCAACATAGTGCACATCCATATAGTTACAACTTCACCAGAAGTTTTATCAAAAAGATCTATGGTAAACTCTGTGGCTTTTGCAAAGAAATCAACACAAATACAAAGAGAGAGAGAGAGAGAAAGGTGTGCTACCTCTGTAGAATGACACTGCTCAGGAATCTGGACCGGTTACAAATCTTTTTGATCTCGGCACAGACCCACCACCATTAACATAATCGGTTTTCAGTGCAACCATTGTAGAAATATTTCTCCATAATTGCCTAACCTCTCCTCTTGGTCTTAAAGCCGTTGCCTCCCCTTATCAAATGCCTTTTACGAAATTGTTACACTTTTTAAATGTAAGACACAAGCACTGAGCTCCCCATTCCCCCATTTGCATTGATGATGTTGTTGTTGTTAGCCTGTTCAGATCTTTGAGTCTCTTCACAAAGAGAAGATGGACAACTTCTGTTCCATGTGTCATTAATTTTTTTGCTGCAGCTCCATGCAGAGTTGGTTTGAATGCCTTTCTGATGCCTCATTGGGTGCCTTGATTCGAACAGGCTTCCAAGTTGAGGAGGGGATGAGGGGATGGCCTTGCAGACGGCCTGCTGGCATGGTTTGACTGACCCATCACTGGCAAAATGAGCTGCGACAAGGGACACAGAGCAGCAGTGGGTGGGCAGTGAAGGCTATTTTCCACCTGAGCATTGGACTCCTGTAAGGTATTGCAGTGATTTTTCAGAGAAACAGAAAACAAAGCTGCAAGGAAAAACTCAGTGGCCTGCCTTAGCTTCTGTCAGATTGAGCCCTTTTCTTCTGGGTAAACCACCCATATTTTTCCCCGATGAAATGAAGGGACTTCAAAAATTACTTTAAGAAAGTAATTCCTTACAGTCATTGTTCTAAGCTTCCCCTTTAGTAATTATCACTGTAGTTGCAGTTCTTACAAGTAACTGTTTAGTTTCCAGTTTCTTGAAAAGGATTAAACCAGTTCACTTTTAACTATTTGCTACTAACCTGTGATACTAAACACATTCAACATCCACCTTGTCTCTGCATCCATAACAGAACATGAAGTATATCATCAGCCAGTATTTGAACTATGTGGCCTCTTTCCAGTGTTTGTTGAAGCCATACTTCCATGATTGTTAAACTAAAAGGTTGCTCTTCAGGATGAAAAGAGCAAAGTCATCCCTCCTAAAGTTGCACTCATTGTACTTTAGTAGTGGTTGTTGTTGTTATATTTATTTATACTTTGCTTTTTCTTTCCACAAGGAGACTCAAACCAGCTTACATTAAAAACATTTCAATACAATTTAAAATACACAAACATTAAAACATAATTAATGTTTTTTTGTAATATTTCCTTTGTTCGGGCTTTGGCTGTAGAAAGTTGGAAGTGATATCCCCATGTATGAATAATTCACAATGGTTTGGTTAGTTTTACAATTTCATATCATCAAATATGGAAGACCAACTTTAAGTTAGGCTGGTACAACTGATTCAGATGAATTCCAAATAACAAAGTGACTCAGGTTGATCCAAACTGATTTGTACAGCACTTGGAGAGTGTTGAATTGATCCATTTCCATTCCAGAGCAGAACAGCAGTGTCCAAAGTGCTGCAGGTAGTTCCGAAGAGCAGGACATTAAAAGTAAATTGGCGGGCGGGGGGGGGGGGGGGCACTAGATAATATGTCTCCCACAAAGTTATATAAAGAAGATACCAATGTGATATGTTAGTAGCAGATTGTGAAAGAGCTGTAGTGAGAGCAGGATGGTTTTTGGTCTTGCTAAGCCTTTCATCAATTTCCTTTTCTCTTTCTTATTCATTTTTTGGTTTAATGAGCCTGCACAGGTGGGAGTGAAACTTATTTTCTTTTTTTCCCTTTCCCTGCATTGTCTTTACCTGTTGTTGCTAATTTGGTCAGGTGTAGGGCAGGCAGACTGAGTTACCAGCAAAAAGGTAGGGCATTGTCTGGAAGCATATTAAGGTGGGAGAGAAACTCAGGATTGCTGTCTGCCTTGACTGTAGGCAGCAAATGGGCAGAGGGATATTGCTAGGGCATTATAGACCCCACAGCTCACCATAACACTTGAAGAGACAGCACCAAATGGTCTTGCTCAGGAGCAAGGCAAAGCAGGCAGGTAGCAAGGGCAGGACCTATGGCGCAGGAATAAAGGATGATAGAAGTAGCAGCGGTGTGTGTGGAGGGGGGGGGGGGGCTCTTGATGAAGCCTGAGGTTTATGGAAATAGGGACCTTATCCCACCAGCAAGGGAAGCGGGGAAATCAGAGGGAACCATCTTTATCCCATTCCTGCCTGTCTTTCCCACATTGAGATCCATCTTTTCCCTGCTTTCTACCACTTTTTCCCATTTGGATTCAGGTAACACTTGACTTCTGAAGATGGATTTAGGGCTTCGTTTCCATGCACTATGGAAATGGAACCCCATGGAGTACCACCGGAATGCCCTTACATCATGTGATGGCCCCCATGGGATGGGAGAAGGAAGTTTCCAACACCAGCCCAGATCTCCAATGCCTTAAAGGGATGCAGGGTGTGCCATGAGGGGTGTCACCACTTGGATAGTTGATATTTATATCTCAAGCTCTACAGCAGGCATGGGCAAACTTCAGCCCTCCAGGTGTTTTGGACCAACTCCCACAATTCCTAATATCTGGTAATCTGGCTGGGATTTCTGGGATATGAAGTCCAAAACACCCAGAGGGCCAAAGTTTGCCCATGCCTACTCTACATCAACCTTCTCTTTTTAGTTATATCATTGATTTTCACCAGGTGCTTTGCTAGTAGCATGAAGAAAAAAAGTGTCCTTTTTCCAATTATTACTGTCATTATCATCATTATGATGGTATTTCAATAGACTTTGTTGACTGATGTTCCTGGAGGACAATGGCAAGAGAAAGAAGGGTAAAATCAATAGCCAATATTGAGATTTTGTAAAATGGGTTTGTTTGTTTGTTTGTTTGTTGAAAGCACAGCAAATGTTCCTGGGGCCTCGCACCACCCTCCTGGAATGACCGAAAGTGGATTGGGTGAATCCCCTCTTTGGAGTTGACCACCATTTTCAACTTTGTGTGGATGTTAAAATCAATATTATGAGAGTTAATGTAGACCCCTTGAAAGTTGCCTTCCAGTGGGAAGTTGTCCATAGTGTTGTGTTGGAGTACCTTGTGATTTCTAAAGAGAACATCTCTTTAGGAATCACTAAGTCCTCCTGATTTCTAGAGCAGGGTTCTCTCACATTAAAAAGGGGTTTTGTTTTTTATAATTCATAGTTTTCCTACTTTCATGAAGGTCCGGTGCCCCTAGCCCCAGAAAATGTGGAAAACCTACTGTATAAGAGTAATACAAATAAACAACAGTAGCAACATTAATAATAATCCAATCCCTATTAAGGTTTTTTCCCCTTTAAATGTGATGCAGTTAGTGCCTATCATTTCTGTCTCATGATGTATGGCAGGAGCGAGTCTCCATGTGTTTGAGACTTGCATGCCCAGAAGGAAGGGGTCATGGGCGTTATAGCCAAGTTTCTCCAACCTACGGTATGATTTTTAGTATTTGGTTTCCTGTTGAACTCTACTGCTGAATAATATAATATTCTTATGTTCATTTCTAAACTGGAGCCCAATTCCTGTGCTCCTAAATGAAAAGTGATGAATCTGGAATTGAACTTAGTTTGAAATGGCTCATCTGTTGTTTTGGCCATGGGTAACGTGTCCCCTTTCTGAGGTCCTTCGGGGGTGGCTTCTGAAAGGTGCTGGACCCCATTACTAGTGTCACCAGGAACAGTAGAGAACTGTTGAAGAGGTGAGATGACTGCAGCAGTGGGTGGAAGGAAAGAACAATTAAAAGCAGCAGCACTTCTGTTGTTCACTGTAGAAATCAGATTAACACCTGTGATCCTCAGAGCTGGTATTATTTTAGGCGGTTGATGATCTGAGTTCAGGTTTTTCATGCACACTTGCTTGGTTTTCCTGTAATGAGTGTAGGTGGGCATAAGAGCCAAAGTTTGTGTGTAGGGGGGGGGTGTCCTGTTTGGTGGGGGAAAGTTGAGGCAGAATCCACCCACAGACTCCATTACCTGATTCAAATGTCAACACAAATTTTAATTGGTTTCAGTCCATCCCTCCCCACTTCCACAGCTGTATTTGGCAATTAACACTCCACAAATAGATTTCTCAGTAACAGGTATATAAAGAAGGAAGAATGGTGGCATCTTAATTGGTGTGGTCTGGTTATTGCTTTGCTGAGGAATGTATGAAGAGTCAGTCTCAATCCAGGATAGATCTCTCATGAGAAAGAGAGAGAAGGTAGCAGGAGTCAGAGCAATGGTAAAATGTTGTGGGCAAAGCTTGGGACATTGCTTTTAATATTGGTGGGCATGCTGCACTCTCCCAGCTCTTCGGTGACTGCACTGCATCACTTCTAGCTGTCCCTGAGATTTTTCTTTTGCTGGGGCAGTTAACTGTTTGGGGTCAGGGAGTTTGTTATAGCTCCACAAAGTTTTTTCCACCTTGTAAAGGTATTTGTTAGCTGGAAATCCACATTTTATTGCCAAAAAAGGTGTGTGTGTGTGTGTAACAATCTGGGTGGGGAGTTCCATGGTGGTCCCAAGTGCTGTACTAGACTCCCTCACCCCCAGTGTACATGGACTGTGACCTATATGATTCCCATCTCTGTCTGAGTTACCCAGGGCTCTCGTGGTACGCACCCCTCCCCCAATATCTATGGAGTGTTGAAAGCCAGGTAACCAGGAGCAAGGTTCCAACAGTCTTCCCCTCTCTCTTCACATCGCCATGTCCTATTCTAAATCCAAGTCCTTCCCTTTTGATGTAACTTCTTTTCCCACTTCATTGTCCAGGTGTCTTGGTTCTCTCCCCCCTCCCCCATCCCTATCCTTGCAATAAGTAAATTCATATTGTCTCCTTTCAGCCTGTGCAAAGGACGAGCCCTCTATGTGGTGGTGAGAGATGCCAAAACCATTCTGGATGTCAACAAAACAAGGCAGATTGCTCAAGAGATTGTGAAGGTAGGTGACAAGGTGGGCAAAGCTCTTGGGTGAGTGCTTTGTTATGCTTTATTTCAAATATTGATATCCCACCTTTCACATTTGTAAGATGCCCCATTGCCAGAAGCTCTATGGTTTGAGTCTTGGACCAGGAGACCAAGGGCTAAAGCTCTGCTCCGCCATGGAAAGCTACTGACTGATCTTGGGCAAGTTCCATTCTGCCATCCTTCACAGAGGAAGGCCATAGCAAACCCCCTCTGAACAAAAGTTGCCAAGAAAACAATTGTAACAATGACTTCCAATAACCAATTCCAGTCAACAGCCTGGCCATAGCATTTTTCACAGCTAAACTTTCTAAACATTATATCAAGGCAGCCATATTATTATCATCCAGAGAGGATGTGACAAAGGTATTTGTCCCCATGGCCAGATCAGACATCTCAAGAATTAAGTCTTTTTTCTGAGAAGGAAGGTAAAATTAAATTACATGAAGATTGTGACTTAACAAGGGATAACTTTATCCCTTCCTTTTGTAGAGTGGCTGTCATGTCTTCGTGGCCTCAGTAAAGGGGGAGGATAGCACCCACTTCAAGTGCTGTAGCATCTCTGTCTGTGCCCTTGTCAGGCTCGGTTGAGGCAATGTAGAGGTGAATAGTAGGAGGACATGTTTTCTGCCACAGGCTGGTACCCCTTAGATATTTTTGTTAAAGTATCTCAAAGATGTCGTAATTCCTTTTTTAAGAAAAAGAACAATTAAAGTTAAGAGTTGTTTTTTAATAAGTACCGGGGGGGGGGGGGTTTAAGACTATAACTAGCTCCTTTTAATAAATAATTTTCTAAGCTCTGCTTTAGACAAATTGTGGGGTTCTCTAGCCTATGATTCTGGATCCTGATGTTTCAGAATGTTCCAATCACTTTGCTCTTCCTTCACCCAAGTGATAAGCTTGAGAGGACCGAGCAACTCTCCTCCACCCAATTCCTTTGTGTCACTTTGACAGATGGTTTCTCTCACCAGGGCTCTTTCTGTCCTATTAAGATCCATCCTAGACCCAATTTCGTTTCATAGACTTTCATTAATTTTTCCCCTCCATCTTCCGGCTAATGAGCAGATACAAGATCCTGTCTGTGCCAACACTCTCTGCAGCGCCTAATGGTTCTTCTCTGGGGATGGGTTGGTTGGAAAGACTCTCCTTTTAAGGGAAACTTTCAGGAGCAACCTATGCACCATTCCTTGTGGGCTCTCTGAAAGCTTTTGCTTGGTAAGGTCATCAGCTTCCTCAGTTTTGATCTATCTATCTATCTATCTATCTATCTATCTATCTATCTATCTATCTATCTATCCTAGCACTGTTTACTCATTAAATGAATATCCTGATTTTTTTCTGGTGAGTGGAAGGTGAGATACCTGCCTCTCCTTCTTCCTTCTTTTAATCTTGCAATGACCCTGCTGAGTGTGAGAGAGTGTCTGGTCCAGAGTTAACCAATGTTTCCTGGCTCAGGAGGAACTTGAACCTGGATCTCAGATCTACATTTCAATCCAATTCTCCATACATGGCCAAGGGAGCATGTTGGTTGCCCCATCTTCCAGACTGCATCCTTCCAGATGTCATTGAATTACAAATTACAACAGTCCTCAGTGTTGACTATGCTGGCTAAGTATGATGGCAGCTGCAATCCATCAACATCTGAAGGATTCCATTTGTCTCATATTTGCTTTTGATTCTAGATGTCATGGTTTTCCAAGTGGCCTGCCTCTTGGCTTCCCCGTAATTTGTGTTCAGCCTGGAACACAATCCCCCAAATCCTCTTCTAACAGCACCATTGAGATAACCAGAAAGGAGCAAACAATTATTGGATTTTGTCTCCATGACTACTTAGAAATTTTTTTTGGTCCCTCAGGGGATTTTTTGGTTAGGGAGGGATACAGAGATTTAGGCACCATCTACATTGCCATATAATCCAGTATCTGAATGCAGATTAACTGCATTGAACTGGATTATATGGTAGTGTAGACTCGTATAATCCAGTTCAAAATAGTTAATATGAATTCTGAAACTGGATTATATGGCAGTGTAGATCCAGCCTTAGACCTCAGCCCTAATGTAGGGATGAGCTGGTTTCAGAAACATCTCTGTGCCAGTAGGGGGTGCTCAATCCCCGTTCACCCCACTTACTCAATAACACGCAAGAAAGATCTGTTTTAAGATAAGTTCTTCTTCAGATGACTACAAGATATCTTGGAATCAGAGGATCCATGAGAGATTCAGCATGATCACATCCCACTGATGGGTGATAGGAGGGAACTCACACACATACACACTCAACTCATGTCTACCCCTACACCTACAGTTACACTCAGGGCTCACCTGCACATAGTGGGGTAGCCTAGAGGGTTGCTACTCTGTTTATGTCTACCGCCATGACAGTGAAACCCAAACTCCCCTAGATCATCACCTTACCTTTCTTGTTCCCCTCTGGCTGCCAGACAGCCCCAGAGCTCAAGGAGAGCTCTTGACCATCATTAGGCACTTTTGCTAACATCAGCAAGGAAAAGGAGGGGAGATGACATGGGCCCAATCCGTACCTTTTCCCCTGCACTGCCTGCAGTTCAGATTGGAGTCTGTTGTGCTGTTCAGACCCCGCCCAAAGTTTGGGGCTGCTCCGGAGTGTCAGCAAAACTTTAGAGCAATACTCAACTTTGCTTAACATGGAGTTAACGTTGTCCAAGCTTGTATTAAGGACTGGATATTCCTAGACCTTGTCTGGCTATCCATGTTTGACTTCTGAACCACTTTGCAGTAAAGGGCTGGTGTAGACAAGCTCCAACTGTAGACTGTGGTTAATCTGTGATTGCTTGCTCTGTGATTCAAATCTTGTTGGCTAAACTTCCAAACTGTTGCCTTTAAGGACCTAAACTGCTTTATTGACAGGATAACTAATGGGCCATATCCTCCAGTATAAGCTTGCTTATCCCAGTGCATAGAAAGGTTGTTTTTTAAACTACAGCTCCCAGAATCAGCTGTGTTGGCTGGAGGAATACTGGGATTTGTAGTTCTCCAAAACCATCATTTCAAAGCTCTAGCTTGTCCCTTAACATCAGGGCACATAAGTGTGACCAGTCTAGGTGCCCCTAGGCCTCTTTGTGGGTCACAGCACCCCATGAAATAGAGGCCAGAGTTGGGAAGAAGTCCACTTTGGTTTTCCTTTCTTCAAAAAGCCTATATTTTTGGTGAAGCTATGGTGCAAGGGACCCAAAGGAGAGCCGTGCTTTCTGGCTGATCTCTTTAAGAGCACAGTTCTTTTTCCTCATATGAAAGCATTTTGAGAGGGCACAGAGGCATCCCAAGCTAAATAGGTGGAGCGGGTGCATGTAACCTGCAGGCCTACCCTTTCTTAAGACCAGCTCCATGGTATATCCAAGATACATTTCTTGAGAAGAAAGAAGGGAGCACTCTTTTGTGGCTGCAGTTCCTTTCTGACCCCACATAACACACTGAAGTAATGAACAGGATGTGAAAACCTCTTATCCTTACCTTCATCTCATTTCTCTGAATTCCACTTGAATTTTCTTCAGTTCTTGTTTCATATCAGGTTGAAAAATGTGTAATTATACCAGTACCCACTTTCCCCAATACATGCCGCCTTTTACACATTTTTAATGGTTGCATATTTTACATATTTCCCCCATTGACTAGTTTCTGCCCATTTTCCAAAGATTTCCCCCCCTTTTTGTTGTGCATATTATTTGCATGGGATTTGAAAAGGAGAAAGATGATAAAAAGAGAATCTGAGACTTGCATTTTCCTCCTGAAAGCCAAAAGCTGTGCAGCTGCTTTTTATTAATTGTCTCACAGACCACAAATTGGATAAATTCATAATTTTTGTTTGATTAATGTAAATGTCTCTGTCGGTCCCAGTAACAAAATTTGGATGTTATCAAAGGATGGGCACTTTGTTGCTGTCCTTGTAAACATCCATATAAGCTACCGCAAGGGTTGTTGGATGCAAAGACTAGGAGATGAAAAGAAACCTGAGAAGGACACCGCTAATCTGTAAATGAAATACCTCATCTTTCCATGGATCCAGTGTAAGTCAGGTTAGGATAATTATCACCAAAATGAAAGTTTCATTTTGAGGAGAAAAGGTGAAGAGCAACTTGCCCAGCCTCCCATACCTTGCATCTCGACCATTAATATCAGTGTTCCAAGCTGGGTGTAAGAGTGGGGGGGTTATGGGGGCAGAACATTAGGCAGTAATCATTCTTGCTCATCCTGGCCAGGAGAAGGTCTCAGCTCACCAAACACAAAACAATCCCAGTCTTTATCATCTCCTCTGCCTTGAAATCCCTCTTCCTCCTTTCCAAACTCCTTTTCAAAGCAAGAGTTAATGATGAACTACTGGTCCTTTATCCTTATGGGGTTTATATATATATATATATATATATAAACCCTTTGATGGAGATAGTATTGGTAATTAACAACTTGCAACTCGGATCCACAAACATGGGCTTGGAAAAATATCTGTGAGGGGAACCATGCCAGATGAAATCCCCCAACAGTCAGAGGAGCTGTCCCTTAGGTTTTCCTCGGGTCCCTGCCATCAAGAAGACAAACATGAACTGTGCCAAATAAGTCTATATCTGCAAAGGAGCATAGAAATTGATTTATACCAGTTCAGGGAGCTGGGGTACAGCTCTCTATGGCAGGGACGGGCAACACGTGGCCCTTGGCTTAATTTCTAAAGCCCTAAATAAATTATTATTATTATTATTATTATTATTATTATTATTATTATTGTAAAAGAATTCTCTTACAGAAGCATGTCGTTTAATAATAATTTATTTTATTTGGTACATAAAACGGATATGATTTTTTTTCACCACGTAGTAGTTGCACCCCTCCTATAAGACGGTAGACAAGGAGGAAGCAGATATTAAATTAGAGCCTATGATACCTTTATATGTACTATTTAAATAGAAGACTGTGACCCCTTAAAGAAAATATATTAGCTAAGAAATGATTATGGAACAGTATTGCATACAGTGCAATACTTTCCACTATAGCTGGAAAGTATTGCACTGTATGCAACCAACACTTATAAACGTATGTCTATTTGAATAAATAAATAATAATAAATAATAATATAATTTTATTTGGTACATAAACTGGCATGATTTTTTTCACCACGTAATAGTCGCACCCCTCTTTTTTCGGTCAAAAAAGCGGATAAAAAGTGTGACTCATGTGATGAAATGTATTTTATTCCCATTTTCCCGGTTTTTTAGTCATTTGTTACACCAGTTGTTATTATGTTTTGGTTGCTTGGGCAGGAACAGTGGGCAGATGATAAGAGATGGCATAAAATTGAAACGTTCCCTAAGGGCTTTAAAATACACTTGGGAAATGTTACTCATTATACAGCTTCTTATTTTCCACTCATAATAATGTGACTTTGTGAGTCCAAAAAAGTAACTCAAAAAGTAACTTTAAAAAGTTCTGCTCCCCAAATCTGAATCTGTTCTCAAGGAGTTGTCTTGGGCTGGTGTCTTTGAATGAAGCAGAGAGACTAGTTCCAGAGTTTGGGGAAAATTACTTTTTGGACTGTATCTCCTATTGTGTATGATGTTTGGGGGTTTTGAGAGTTGTAGGCCATCTGTCAGGGGTGCTTTGATTGTGCTTTTCCTGCATAGCAGGGGGTTGGACTAGATGGCCCATGTGGTCTCTTCCAACGTTATTATTCTATGATTCTAACTTTCCCATGTTCTGGGTAGTGCATGCAATTGCAGCCAGAGTAGAAAAATAAATTAGGATAGAGAATACTGGAGAGGTTTTAGGCTCTAGGGGCAAAAAGACCTGAACAGAAAGCAAGAAGGACGGGGAAGCAAGCATGAATGATTCCATCACTCTGCATTCATTCCAATTTCAGGTTTCCCCAGTCAACACTATTCCATTCCATTTTTGCATTAACTTTTTGAAGCTAATGGACTAATTTGTATACATTTTGTGCACATTTCCCCTGATGTATGTATTGTAATGCATTTTGACCTGATGCATGTATTTTTGGAAGCTGCTTTCCATAATCGCATGCATTTTCTACATTATTTCCCAGAAAAGAAATATTTTTACATAAGATGCAATTTAGCCTGCTTCTTTATATGAAATGTTGAGTCCTCCAACCTCAAGCACTGCCCGGTGGCGCAGTGGGTTAAACCCACTGGTCTCAGGTTCGAATCAGGGGAGAGGCGGATGAGCTCCCCCTATCAGCTCCAGCTCCTCATGCGGGGACATGAGAGAAGCCTCCCACAAGGATGATAAAAACATCAAATCATCCAGGCGTCCCCTGGGCAACATCCTTGCAGACGGCCAATTCTCTCACACCAGAAGTGACTTGCTCCTGACACGACAAAAAAACAACAACAAATATTTTGGGACGGCCCTGTCTGATAGTTGGACTAAAGGATGTTTGAGGTCTCTTCCAACTTTGATTCATACAACAGTGTAGATTGGGCCTAAGACATACTGTGGAACATATTTCCCATTCCTCTATTAAATCATATCTGTTTCGGCCACAACAAATACATCATACAGTGGACTCTTGCTGTCTGTTGAAGTTTAAGGACCCTGAATGAATGCTGAAGTCTCATGATATATGTTGGCATCATAAAATGGTGCCTCTTATATACAATGGCAAAAATCAAGGTTTGCTTTTGGGATTTTTTTTTGAGGGGGAAAATTTTCAAGCCATGGATGGTTGAATCCATGGAGGCAGAATCCGTGGCTACAAAGGGCTGACTGTATGTGTGTTTATGAGTGTTTAGAGCAGTGGTTCTCAACCTGTGGATCTTAAGATGTGTTGTCCTTCAACTCCCAGGAATCCTAGCCAGTTTACCAACTGTTAGGATTTCTGGGAGTTGAAGGCCAACACATCTTAAGACCCACAGGTTGAGAACCACTGGTTTAGAGGAACACCAAAGCCCTCTTTTCTGCACAGCTCTTTCAGTGCCTCTCCTCTCCCCTTACATTGTTTGCAGGGAATGGGCTATCTTCATGCCAAGGGGATTCTCCACAAAGATCTGAAATCTAAAAATGTTTTCTATGACAACGGGAAAGTTGTGATCAGTGACTTCGGCCTCTTCACTATATCTGGAGTTCTGCAAGCGGGCAGGTAGGTTACAGAAACAGCTACATGCAGCTGCTGATTCTGCAAACTTATTGTACCATTCTAAAATACAATTCTTCATCTTCTTCAGAGCAAAACCAGGACTAATGAAAGCTTTGCCAATCCCCATATTTGGGTAGGAGCATTTGCTTCCAATAATGTTTTTTTTTTTTTGGTCAAATTTTCATGGAGAGGACATCTAAAGAATGTTTACAGGTCTTACTCTAGCTGAAAATAAAATACAGATACCAACTATTTCCCTCTTAACTTTCAAAGTTCACATCCCCAGCAGAATGAGAAAGATGCTATTTTTCGGGGGGGGGGGAAGCTGGGGGAGAAAATAACTTTTCCTGAATATATGCCAGAAGGAAAAAAGCTTAGGCAAGCTCCCAGTGTGCCTCTACTCCTTATCCCAACTCCTGTTATCTTCACAACAACCCTGTGAGGTAGGTCACTGAGAGATGGTAACTGATTCAAGCAAAGCCATCCTGTGAGGGATTTGAATCCATGCCTCCTTTCTCCAGTTATAGGTTCCTCCACATAATGAGAATAAGAACAGTGCCCAGAGGTTCGCTTGGGTAATGCCATTGACGCAATGGTCCTCCCAATCTACGGCTGTAGGCCTGAACTGAGAGAACCAGATCAAGACTGCATCCTTGGGGATTTTTTTCTTTATCTTCTAATGTTCATCTCCTTTCCCAGAAACTCCATTAATTTGTTCTGACTCTGAGTCCACTTCCAGGCAAACTTCACTCCCGGTGGTCCCCGATTTAGATGTAACTTACTGTGCTTTCCCAAATTAAAAGAATAAGGAATGAAATGAAATGAAACCCAGCTATTGTGAAGATTTCCTCACAGTTAATTATTGCTTTATTGCAAAGCCGTCTGTGAGATAAATCACATATTTTAATCTTTCTGTAATTATGGTGTGTCAAAGGCACTGGATTAAAAAAAGAGATAATGGCCTGCCTATTTTCTCTCCCCCTCCTTTTCCACTGGTATATCAGTTATGTTGAAGTGGTTAACAGCACCCTGAGTGAGTTTCATTTTTTATCTACTCCCCATTCAACACATATACATGGTTGGCAATTGATGCCTTCACCAAATTTTGACTTTCATGTTTTCTCAGACTGTTCCTTGGACTTCTTTCTGGTCTCCAGGAACCCAATTCTATGGATCATATAGTTGCCCAGGATAAAGATCAAGGGAGGAGAGGTTGTGCCCTAATTCAAAATTAACAGAGGGAACATACAGGATTCAAAGCTGGACTTTGAAGAGCTCAGCTCTGTTCTTTTGCCAGAATGCCAGTTTCATTTTCTCTCAAATACACTTAAAATCGCAAGTTCTTTCCATGCCAAACATGAATAAATGTGGAAATGTTGCAAGTTCTTGATCGGTGGTGAAATGCCAAGTTTTTTTTTTAATCTGCAGTTGGCCAAACCAGGGCCTATTCTCAGAACGGAGCTTGGAAAAGAGTTGTTTTTTTTTTAATTACAAGTCCCAGTATCCTCCACTCAGCATGGCCAGGCACCTTGGGAGTTCTAGTCCAAAAAAAAAAAAGAAAGAAAGAAATTTGCCCAAGCTCTGTTTGGGAGGCGTCTTGGCCTCAGCTTCCCCCAGAAGGCAACTTATGACTCAGTGGACCCCCTGCTGCTCAAGGGCTGCACCATTGCACTTGGCCTTCACTGGAGGCCCACTAGCATTCCAGTCAAAGCCTCGTCTTCCCATTGTCTTTGCTACTGCTCAACAGAGAAAATTGCAGGGTTCCTCTCGCCAGAAGAGCAAGAAGTGCTCATTAATTATGGTACGTGGGATCCTTCCTTCTCCAGAGTGACTGGGAAAAGGAGTTAGCATCCTTGGGCAGCTGCTGGTGCCACCAACATCCTGTCAGGGTCTGCTGCTTGTAATTGGTCCTGGTTTTTTAATGGATGGCCCAATGTTTTGAGAAGATCTGGGTGGCTTAGTCTAGCTGCTATTTGGATTTCTGCCAGTTTCACCAATGTAGCATCAGTCTGGGAAATTGTAGGGAATTTAAATGGTATTTCCAATGAGCTGCAAAGCCCTCCAACAAAGAAGGGATACCATCTCCTTCTTTGCTGGTGGCCACTTGCCTGGGCCTGGACCTTCTGCTGCCTTCTTCCTAGTTGACACAATCCAGTTCCTAGCAGCTATGCCTCTACATATCAATGACTAGCAAGTGGGAGATGTTGTCATGTTCTGCCAGTGGAATTACCTTTCTGATGGATTTCTCAAAGGCAACAATCCTTTGGTTACACACTTCTATATTGTAGGGGTGAGCCAGAAGTGGCTCACAGACTATATAGTCCCCTAGGATTCCCTTTATGGCCCCAACTCTCCTTTTCCCCAATTAGTTACTTTTTATTTTTTTTTAAAAGGGGGCTTAAAATATACTGGTGGGATGGAATACAGAAGGAAGAGATTGCAGGAGCAGAATAGTGGAGTCTCTGGACCACTGTCAGTCCTGATTTATTACTCCTCCTCTGAGAAATGTACACAGCTCCCCTCTCTCCTCCTTGTCTTCTCCACCACCTTGTGAGGTGGGTTGACTTTCAGTAACCTACCCCAAGGCACGATGCCTTCCTCACTCATGCCAAAGTCAGCAGTCCTGCCAGGTGGTCCTGGCTTGACTCCTCAGTGCCAGTTCAACCTTGCATCTCTGATCTAGTCTGCTGCCCTTGGTTGTGGTAGAGAAGGAAGGGGCTATTTTGTCACAATTGTTTCTTTAAATGGGATTTGGGGTCAGGGGGAGGTGAAAACAAGAAAGATGTCTGCCCTTTTCCCCAACCAACAAATTGTCTGGCAGCCAGCCCAAGCTGCCACAATTTAAAAGAGAGGATTTGGGTGCCTTTTTAACTTAGCTGTGCTAGTACCATCTCTTACTTTTCTTTCCCCCAGTTATCAGAATGTCTCCTGTCACTTCTCAATTCCTAAGCTTCTGAGGTCTTGAACAAATCCAATTACCGAGGTGCATTCTCATTGGTTCCCTCTGGTTTTTACACCCGAAATCAAGCAGAGTGACCCCAATTTTTTGTGCTCCATTGCCCAAGTCTGGGACATTGTGTATTAGAAGAGCAGTCTGCTGTTCTTTTTTCTTCTTAAAGGTTCCGCTCGCCTTTAGAGTGGGACATGTCAGGCAGCCTTTGTCTTGATCTAAGCAACTTGCTAGCTAGAAAGAGAGTCAACATGACCATTTATTCCTATCAGTCTGCCCAATGGCAATGACCATTAGAAGCCCTCCAAATTCTGCTACATCATACAGGTATTTATCTGTCAACAACCAGAGAAAGGACCTTTTGGGGGATGGTGCCTGCTATCGGAATATCCCACCTATTTTAAGAACTATATTACTCTGTTGCAGTGTAATCCATGTTGAATGAAGAATGAACAATGAACACTTGTCATTACCTCATAACTTATGAGTTATGTCTGGGGTTGCCAGAATGAAAACTTGAAAGGACTTTCTATCTTGAATGGTTGTGTAGAAGAGGGGCTTTCAGCATATGTTGTTAGTTATGACAAGCAGGACTTACTGAAATGCCCACATCTATTCTTCTACATTAGTGAAGGTGTCTGGAGCTGGTGAATATCTCAGCAACTCATTCCATTTCTAGACTGAACATTGATTATTTATTTGGGTAGCAAGAGGAACACGTGGATTTGTTGTCAACTTTTTGTCCCAACACCCTTGGCAAGTTGCATGCACAAGGCATGTTGTGGCCATAAGCAAATAGAGAGGGCATATCTCTCAGTGACATAGTACATAATCAGAATGCAAAACTTGAGTCTCTAGGTGTTTTTGTTCTGTGCTTCCCATTGTCCTTTAACACTGGCCATGCTGTCTGGGGATTATAAGAGTTGTATTCTTAAATCTACATGCCCAGAAAAGCCTGACTTTGTCATCTGTTGGTATGCATATGCAACCCCTTACTATAACATTTCTTCCCACCTGATTGTGGATTATGATCGTGAGTTTTGAATACAGCTGCCTCCTTCCCTGAATAGGGATATTGTGCACTCAGAATAAATTATGAGCTGTGCACAGTTTGTGTAGGTGGCATCACAAGAAATAGCAAATTCATGAATGTGTCTGATTAGCAAACTTCATCTGGATTTCTCTTAACCTCCTTCTCTATGTCTTCCTTTGACATCCAAGCATTTGTCAGACACTGGCTATGAACTTTTCTTTGCTGTCACAAGGACAAGGGGGTTGCTTTTCACTCATATGATGGTGCATAATCAGGATCGCTTTGAATACTTTTAGGATTCAAGACAGTGTATAAAATATTTAAATAAATATATACTCTACTGGCTAGCTATGTGTGGCTTATTTGCACACAATATGCAGAAATATATAAACTATGCAAAAAAGAACCTAAGGAAAGAACAAGAGAAAAATGAGATTTCTTAAAATGCAAGATTCTTTAAAGGACTGGGTTATACAGAAATCAAAGCAACAAAGGTGACATGAACAAGATCTGGTTTTGTCAAAGCTATGGGATTAAGATGAAATTAATATTTTGGTAGCGAGCCATCACATGTTCCTTCCAAAGGGTTATACATTCCTGTACATGTAAGGAGCTTGCCCTCTCATTTGTCTTTTTCCTGCTTTCTGGCACAAGGAGAGATGACATGGGAAAAGACTGAATATGACAGCAAAAAAAGCAAGTCACCTTGAACCCCTCAAGTGACCTTGGTGATTCAATTAACCACAGCTTTCAATTAAGATCCTCATATGTGGCCACAAAGTAAAATGAGTCCTGGTAGGAGATTGAGACTTGCATCCACAGAAGAGCTTTCCTTTCTCTGGGCTTCGAAGTAGAGCAGTAGTAGAGCTACACTGCTCGGCCCTGATTCTGAAGCACCCTTGCCCATGGCAGTGCCACAAAACAGCTCTTATATACTTGGAACTGCCCCAGCAGAAACTGGAAACTGCCCTGAGACTGGTTCTCCCAGGCAGCAAAGTGAAGAAGCAAGTAGCATGAGCACAGCACTGACAAAGGGTGGTCAAAATCAAGGAGTCACCCCAGGTAGCAAGTGCTGAGAGGTGGCATGAAGGTGTTAGAGATAGACAGGAGAACTGTGACCCTGTCCCCTCAGCTGGCCGCCTGCTTTAAGATGTGGTAGTGGGTGCTATCTTTTGTAGGCTGGAAAGTGATTGGAAGATAGCCCTAACTTTCTGGCAAGTTTTCATCCATTGGTTGAAAATGACTTCCAGATGAGATCAGGAACAGGCCACTGTGATGGCAGGGTTGGGAGGGAAACGGGGACAGAGTGGCTTTTCACAGAGGATGGCCAAGCAGGACCAATAGTAATGTCAACTCCAGGATGTCTGGGAAATAGATTTAGCAGGACAGCTAATTATACAGAAGTGACAAGCAACATTAGATGGTCTGTCTGTCATTTGGAAATTGTTGACCTGTAGAAGGAGAAATGGGAGGCTCATGGTTTTAGGTGGGAGTTGAGCAAAACAGGGTTGGCACATTGCAGAAGGACAAAGGCTTCCAAGCAAGTGCTGTGTGAACTTTATGGGTATCACCAGTGATGGCAGGAAATTATTTAGAAGCTAGGTCTTATAGGAGTCTCATAACATTTGTAAAGCCTTGGGTCCCTCCCCTTGCCCTCCTTGGGTGAGTCTTGCCTATAGAACCAGCATGTAACTCCAAAAATTGTCACTAGATCAAACTCTCATACTATTGTGCTTGTGGTCCTGCTGTGAGTTTCTTTTTGTTGGGCTAGATAAAATGATAGACAGCTCCAGGACTGGTTTACAATGGTGATGAAACAAACACAGGTATCAAGAAGAAGGAGTACTGCTTCATAATACGGCTTGCAGAATTGTGTCAACTTGACTTTATCTTGCTTCTGGTACCTCGCTTTATTTGCTATTACTTTTCCTTGCAGAAAAGAGGATGGGCTGCGTGTCCAGCATGGCTGGTTATGCTATTTGGCTCCAGAGATCATCCACCAGCTCTCACCTGAGACAGAAGAAGACAAGCTGCCTTTTTCCAAGCATTCTGATGTCTTTGCTTTTGGGTAGGTGTTTGGGTAGGGTGAAGAAGAGAACGATTGATTAAGTATTCTTTCTCATATTGGATCTGTGAATGTTTTTGAGAGGGAAAGAACTTGCCATTTCCCTTGAGAGATCTCTCCTAGTTTGAAACATTAGTACATGGCTGTAAAAAGCAAACACACTGATTTCTGTGTGATTGCCTTCACCATTCAGAAAAGGGGCTTTATACCGAGAATAATCAATCATGTTTTTACGGCTCAGCCTGATCAACCCACAGGCATAGGTTGACTTGCTAGAGAAGAGACTCAGCTCCTAATGCCATTGAAGGTTTTGAGCTCAGTGAATATACACTCTGAAGCAGGAAATGTTGATTGGAAGCAAATATGCATTCATTAACAGATGAAAGTGGGAAACCTGAACCCACTTTCAGCTGCCTCTCTTGGGGTCCTCAGCTGACTCTGGAGTTTTCTGAATGGCCATGTCCCTTTCCCCATGACAACACTATTTGGGTGTTTTTCCATTCTGAAAGGTTAACTAATAGTTCCTGGCAGGAAGAGTTTTAAGCTAACATACGCTTATGTTTGGGGTTCTACTCTTTAGCCGTTGGCCCCATCCACTTCTGGAATGTAGACCCTAAGAACATCTCTGCAATTGAATTGGTACCCCACCTTTTGCTATAGAAAACCCCCATCACTCCCAAACAGTGTTGCCAGTACTTCAGTGGGAATCATAGTCCAGCAACACTTAGAGACCCAGAGGTGTTCTACTCCTTTGGCAGAAAGTTCCTGGATGCAGGACTGCAAGAAGCTCTAGGCCTCATACGCGGCAAAGGGCACCTTGATCAGAAACCATGATGCCAATGGACTGGTGCTCACATACCAGATGAGGAAAGCAGAAAGTAGCTCAAGACTTGATGGACAGATGGGAGGCCTACTACCTAGTTGGTCAGAAAAAGTGAGGCAAGGCAAAGGCTGGGAGAAGACAACATTTGAATTTTAAGCAGGATGAAAATCCTCCCCAACAAAGTTCTTTAATAGAACAAAGTTTAAGAATTACGATGGAGCCCCAAATGCATGTTCTCCTTTAATGATTTTTTCACTTGTCCAATTTTAATTGCCCTTCACCACAGCAAAGAAAAAGAAATATTTTTGAAGTGCCTCATTGCCCTGTGATGATATCTTTTCTCAGGCACATGGCCAAGTACACTTTTTATCTGCTGGATTAATTTTGCTGTATGCCACTGCGATGGGCACCTTGAAGAGCCGAGTGTAAAAGTGATGAGCTTAAGCTGAATCCTTATCGGATAATGTGTTTTCATCCAACAGCAGCCCCCCCCCCTCCCCCGCAAAAAATTCCAGCGGCATTACTTAGTATGTGCTTTAAATGTAACTTTAACCAAAAAGAGGAAGAAAATAATTATGGGATATTTTTATCAGACTAATCCCTAGCTAACTTATTTTAATTTGAAACTTTTTATTGAAAAAAAATACCCCAATCTTTTAAAAAAGAGTTTCTTTTAAAAGTTTTAAATGGCTGGTTTGGCTTTTATTTTTCATACTTTATATGGTGATCAGCTTCCACAGTGTTTGCATAATGAATTTAGATACGATTGCTCATGTTTCTTAAGAATATGGGTAAATTCACATGATGGGAAGAATTTGTGGCCTTTCAGCTCCTATGTCTATAAAAGCCTTACAATGAGTACATTTATACTAGAATGAATGCAGTTTAACACCACCTTAACTTGCAAGACCCATTGCTATGGGATCTTGGGATTTGCAGCTTGGTGAGGCACAGCAGTCTTAGGCAGAGAAGGCTAAAGACCTTGGCAAACTTTAACTCAATTATTCCATAACACTGAGCCATGACAGTTAAAGTGGTGTCAAACTGGAATAATCTGGTAGCCTCATTTTCTCTCTCTCTGCCCCCCTGGACTTCATCCAGCCTTTTCTCAACATCTCAAACCCCTAGGGGCTCTCTTATGGATTTATACATTTTAAACAGAGGTCTGGAGAACAAGCCCTATGAGGAGCGGCTTAAGGAGCTGGGCATGTTTAGCCTGAAGAAGAGAAGGCTGAGAGGAGATATGATAGCCATGTATAAATATGTGAGAGGAAGCCACAGGGAGGATGGAGCAAGCTTGTTTTCTGCTTCCCTGGAGACTAGGACGAAACAATGGCTTCAAACTACAAGAAAGGAGATTCCATCTGAACATGAGGAAGAACTTCCTGACTGTGAGAGCTGTTCAGCAGTGGAACTCTCTGCCCCAGAGTGTGGTGGAGGCTCCTTCTTTGAAGCTTTTAAACAGAGGCTGGATGGCCATCTGTCAGGGGTGATTTGAATGCAATATTCCTGCTTCTTGGCAGGGGGTTGGACTGGATGGCCCATGAGGTCTCTTCCAACTCTTTGATTCTATGATTCTATACAGTCCTTCAGATAACCTGAACTCAAACTGTAAAGGGCTTTATAGGTCATAACCAGAAAATTCTGAGAACTACAAAGTGATGTAACACTTGGAGTTGTCCAGGGTTGGAGTTGTCATGGGGACTGTGAAGCAATGTCGTTCAAATGCCTAGTAGCAGTAGTAGTAGTAGTAATAGTAGTAGTAATAGTGTTATAGCACACTATAAAATAGTCTTCCTAAACATTGGGCTATTCCTAGGTTCATTTGTCAAGAGCTAGGTAATATATAGGAAAATCATCCTCTCTCTCTCATGCACACATATACTCAAACACACACCCCTGAAGTATGAGAAATGATATTAATACTGTCCTACCGCAATGATTTGTGTAAGCTAGACCTGGGGAACTTAAGCAGGATTACCTAAAATGGTGCCACCTAGACATTTGGACTTCAGTTCTCATCAGACCCAGCCAGCATGACCAATTGCCGAGACTGATGGGTATTGCTGTCCCAAAAATTGGGCAATCATAAGGTCAGAGAACACTGTACTAGGCTACTCTCTTTACTGAAGCCCTAGTTTGAGATTGTATGGTAAGGGAGGGGTACATGGAGAAGCGGGAGCTGTAAAGGAAGTGGGGAGAGGAAGAGGTGGCTGCCCATCATGGAAAGAGAAAAAATCCTCATCTGCAGTTATATGAAGCATTACACAGCTGCAGGAGCAGCTGCACAGTTACGGCAATGTTATTGTGTGCTGCAAGAAAAACCCTCCGCACAATCATCCCATATTATCAACTAACACATGGGTTGAACATAAAGTGCTTTCTTCTGCAGGAATTTTCTAATTCTCTACCATGTATAGATGCCTTCAGCTGGTGGGACATGAGCTGGCTTTCCTCCTCTTCCAGCGTGGAATGCCATTCTAAGCACCTTCCCTCCGAAATAGAAAGCGTAGGCAAGATTGCAGACTCCCGCAGCTGGAACAGCCATTCCCTTGTTCTAGGTGCGGGGGAGTGTTTGGGATCTTGAATAACAGATTCTCAGCACCTTTTAGCATTAGGGATAGATGCATCTTTTTGATTCTGGGTTCTTACTCATATCTTACACTGAAATTGGGATCATCCAAACATTGTGTTTACCTTGAACCTTGAGAAGGAAAGGAATCACTGGGCTGAAGATGGAAAGAAAAGGAAAACCTGAGGAAGGCAGGGAAGTTGGCAGAGTATTCCATGGAAGGTAAATTGAAAGGCCACAGATACTTAGCTAGGAAAGCAACCCTTTCCTCAGCCCGTGATAAATTTGGGTGCAACTTTACCAGCCTTGGGCAAGAGCCTGCAGTTTGCCAAATTCTTTAAGGCCAAATTCATGTCTGAAAGGCAGTTCCTTTTGTGGTGTATTGTGTATTTGAGATGTCTTGACTGGATTGGAAGATCTATGTGTGGCTGTCATCTGTTTACTGAGCGTGACTCTTTTGCACTGTGGTTGTTGCTGTGAACAGATAATGTGTTGCCTTCCCTCCAGTCACATTTCACTGAACTCTATGAGCAGAAGGGATAAAAGAAAAGAAAACAGAACAGCTCTCATCAGGCTTGGCAGATGCCTTGCCAAACCAAAAGAATGCAGAGCTTGTTTGTGACCCACAGTTGGCTTTGACAATACTGAACGTAATTGGAGATATTGTTTTTGACTCATAAAATCCTTCACGGAATGGTCTCGGCTCAGGCCTTCAATCCTCCATGGGTATCCACACACCTTTCCGTAATTGCTGAACAATTCCTTAGTTTTAGTACAGGATTTTCCCCATTCTGAAATGTCTCTGCTCAGCATTTTTTCCAACGCCAATAGCTTTAAGTATAAGATGCAGATACAGGACGTGGTCCATAAGAACATCTTTGAAATTTAATTTGCTTCTTGGGCTGAAAGAGGGTCCCCACACTTGACCTGAAGAGCTGCCTTCTGCAAATAGCCCCATGGTTATTGAATAGAGCAGCCCAGCTAATGTATACAGTGACATTCAGGCCTCTCAACAGCTTTAAATATTGGCAATATTATATATCTAAGTTTTATGCCAAAGGTAGTGCTTGATAATTATTTTGACAACATTTAATAGCTTTAGTTTGTCATGGGTTTACTATAGCCTTTTTACTGTAACTTTTTGTGTTGATGCAGTTGATCAGATTAAATGTTTAATTTGATTTGTGCTTTTGTTTTGGTTGACTGAAATTTTGCATGTCTCTCAGAGAATTAAATTAATAGGTGACAAATAAATGCAAAATGAATACATATAACGAAGGGACAGATGATGCTCCATGGAGGTCCTTTTAGGAGTTGTATTTAAGTAACAGAAAATATGCCTTATGTAATGTGTTGGTGGTGGTGATGGTGAAGAAGGGGCTGATGGTGCTTCACGGGTATATTAATTCCTTGCTCTGCTTTGTCTCAACAGCACCATCTGGTATGAGTTGCATGCCCGGGAATGGCCCTTCAAGACTCAACCAGCTGAGGCAATGATTTGGCAAATCGGTCGAGGGATGAAGCCAAACCTGAGCCAGATTGGCATGGGAAAGGAGATCTCGGTAGGCCACTTTTGGAATGTGGGGGAGTTTGAGAAAGACATCAAACATTGGTCATCACAGGGACAATTCTGAGATGTAGCATGGTGGTTAGTGTTGAATGATGGTCATGTTTGAGTTCAACTCCTTGCTCTCCTGTGAAATTTTATTTGTAAAAGATCTCTCTTACAAAGCCTCGGGCTCCTCTGTACCTCTTTAATACATGGTGTTATAGGGTGTATTGTAAGTAGAAGAGAGATCACTGCCTCAAGGTCTGTATAGTCTCTGTTTAACGAGAGGGAGGGGAGACACAAAGGAAATAAATAGAGAGGAATAAAGGTATTCTGCTTTGTTCTCTTTCTCCCAGATTTGATTTTGGTGGGCAGAAGATGCAAAGTGGTGGGAAGCAAAAATATAATTTTTTGTGGAAGAATCAGAAGGTGCCATTGAGCAGTTTGTTTATTTAGAGTATTTCTACCTTGCTCTTGATGTGCCTTATGATTAACCTAATCCATTAAAGCAAGCCAACACTCAAACTGTTACAATCCAATTGTTAGGACATACAAGGAAAAGGAAGGGTGGGAATATAGCCTTAAGCATCAATTTCCAGATAATCACATGGCCTCTGAGAAGCTACTGGGCTACAACTCCAGTCTCCCTAAATTATTTACTGAATCCGATTGGAACAACAGTCTGATAATGTCTGGAGAGCCACATGTCCTGCAGCAGTAGTGTCAAATCATCCAACAAATGAATGGAAGAGTTATCATGAGCAGGTCAAAACAGTTCTGAAACAGGAGGGGCCAGGCAATTCTTCAGGCCTGATGGAGTGAATCTGCTCCCAGAAATGGCTTGATGGATTATGTGTTGCTTGGTAACATCTGGAGAAAGGTCCTGATAGAACAGAACTTCCACCAAACTGATGGAATGGCCCTTGTTGCCATCTCTCACTGCATCCTGATACATTGTGCCATAGGACCATGTGATTGATCTAAAATAGGAACCAAGAAATGACAGCGATGAGCCCAAACTGAGAAAAACTAGCATCTCCGAGCTTTCTGTAGAAGCAACATAGACCTAGCTTGAAAGTTTGTGAATGGTGTGAGTTGTGTGGGAGTACAATTGTTTTTTTCTCCTTACATACCTTTCTTTCTGTTGCCTTGCAGGACATTCTGCTCTTTTGCTGGGCCTATGAACAGGCTGAACGACCAACCTTCTTAAAGCTCATGGAGATGCTGGAGAAACTGCCAAAGCGGAACCGTCGCCTTTCTCACCCTGGCCACTTCTGGAAGTCAGCAGAGTAAGGCGGGGTCCTTCTCCTATGTCTGGCTTTGCCAGCATTGTGTGGGTTGGCCAGGGCTCACAAACAGTAGCACTTGGCTACAAATAACTGTACCATGAACACATAAAACTAAACTGGGATAGGCTTTCTGATCTGCAGCATGGAAAAAAAAACTTTATTTATAGACCGCCCTCTCTCCCTGAGTGGACATGGCGGTTTACAACACAAAAAGGCAAACATTCAGTGCCCAGATAAATGCCAAAAAAAAAAAAAAACAATGAGAGAGATAGGGGGCCATGGGGGTCCTTAAGGTAACAAAACAGTTACAGAAGACTCTGAGCCAAAACTTTGGGGCTTAGCATGTTTCATCAAATCCTTGCAAAACTTATAATAGGAGTAGGAATAGTGGTGATTATGGTTCATCTTTTTCTTTTGGGAGCCATTTATGTGACCCTCATCCTCACAGCCCTCCATTGCCAGAAAAAAAAAACTCACAAAAACAAATGCACCCCCCCCCCCAACCTCCTGGTGGTGCAATTCTCCATTATGCCCTATTTGCACCCTCGCAATCTTGTTTGGGCCTCAAATGACACTTTTTAAAAACAAATGTGATTCCAGATTCATAAAAAAGGGCGGATATGGCATATGGAAATTTAGAGCCATGGATGTCTGTCCCTGGCTACAAGAATGCAACAATTTTCTCCTGGCCCTTAAAACAACAGCTGCATGGGTGCAAACATGGTTGAGAGGGCATTCCACAAATGAAACGCCACAGCAGATGGAAATATACTCTCTCCGGCCCTGCTCACTATTTCCTTTAAACATTCACATTATCCACTGCTGAGCCAGGCACTCCAAACCAGTTCCCAAGGCAGAGATTTGGCTCCAATTAAGCCTCGAGTCTTGGCATGTGCATGTATTTAGGTCAAGGGCTCAGGGTTTATCAGCAGCCAAGCAACAATAAAATATCAGCTTTTAAAAATACTAACCAAGGTGGCCAAAGCCTGCTTTCAGTTCTTTTTCCTGCTCTGACTGTTTACACATATCCCTAGGGTATACATTTGAGACTGTCCCCCAAACTGCCACCCCCCTGTTGCTAGGCCAACTGTCTGCTCACAGCTGAAGTGAACACTTTCTATTCCTTGCTGTGTTTTGCCAGTAAAGATTTTCAAAAGGCAGAGGAAGGAAGGGGCCTTCCAGCAGGAATGGCACATGTTAAAAATTCCCATTTCCTCCCAAATTTTCCCATGAATAGCTTTTTCTGCTCCCATCAACATTGGGAGGATGGAGTTGGTTATTCAGAGGACCAAAGAACTCCAATGGATGAGCTTTTCTTTGCCTCAGAGTCCTTTTTTCCAGTTGAAAGATTGGATCAGTTCCCTATTATTAGGATCAGAGACCCTCTGACCCATCAGGTATCTCCTCTGTTTTAAAATTAGGAGTGAGGAGTCAATGGATTCTCAGAGAGGATCAGAATGGGAGAAATTGTCACTTCTTCTTCATGGTCTCTGTGACTCAGATAAATGAGTCATTCTGTGCCTGCCCAGGAATCTTCACAAGCTTCTAGAGCTCCATTTAGGTAGTAACCACCTCACAGTAGCCAGACATTCCCTTTAGTGGGGCCTACAGGCTGTGGCCCTTGCAGCCCAGAATATGCAAGTTCAGGTGGCTTCATTGGCTTATCTCCTCATGGCTTTATTTGACCATGGAAGTGTAGCCGGTGCACTTAATGACCCAAATCTCCTTGGAAGACAAATGAGGACTCAACTGTCAGTGTTTTATTCAGCATTATAGACTAGAAACCAGTTGCAGGGCATATACAGCCTTTGATCCGACAAATCTTGGGTATTGGACTTCCTAGCTGATCTTTGATGCATAGCTCCCATTTGGCTGAGTGATAGAGACCATGAAAAGAAGGAGGTTGCTTACTTGTAACTCTGGTTCTTTGCATGGCCATCCTTGAACAAGCATAGGCCACTCTTGGGTCCAGCCCAACAGTGGGATTCTGGGTGCTGCAAGAGTGTGCAAGAACCGAGGGACTGTGTGGGAACTGCTCCTAGCTGTTCCTACAATGGGGAGGTGGGACTCCTTTTCTAATTGAAAGGGGCGTGTGACTATTACATAATGGAAAAAAATCTGCCTTTGTTTCTCTGGTTTTTGTTTTTTAAAAATAAACTGCCTTACCTCTGAAAGAGGAGGAGGAGGAGTGAGGATCCAGCCTCAAACAAACAGCTTCATTTCTGTTTGTTTGTTTTAAACTACTTTTCCAAGGAGGGAGGGAAGATTTCCCCTTCCTTCCTTCCTTCCTTCCTTCCTTCCTTCCTTCCTTCCTTCCTTCCTTCCTTTTTTTCTCCAAAGGCAAGGCAGTTTACAAAATCTGAAATGGACCTCTTTCAGAAACGGAGAAAAGATCCAAGTTCTAGAGGTCTCCATTTCAGATTTTTTATATAAATGCCTTGTCTTCAGAGAAAGAAGGAAAGAAGGGGGAATCAGCCCTAAATGGCTCTGCAACCATTATGTGAGAAATGCAAAAATATCAATTTTGCCATGCAAAAAATAGGGGTGCGACTATTACGCGGTGGCAACTATCATGCAATGAAATACAGTAATACAGTTAGTGCTCCACATTCACTGGGGTTAGGAGCACAAGATACCCATAAAAGTAAAACAACTGCAAATAAAAATAATGATTTTTTAAAATAATAATAATAATAATAATAATAATAATAATAATAATAATACTTTATTTGTACCCCACTACCATCTCACCAAGGGACTCGGTGCGGCTTACATGAGGCCAAGCCCACAACACATCAATAAACAAAAGCAATAACAATAAATCAATAGAAAACAGTTAAAATAAACTCAAAAACAAAAAAACCACAATAAGCAATAAACAATAACAATATCAAAACATATAGCATTTAAAAACCTATGGCCGGGCCAAATGTAATAATTCAAATTTAAAATTTAAAAAAATGCTGGGCATGAACAAGGTTAGGCAAATTAGGATAGGGTTTTCAGAGAAAGATGAGAGCACGCAGACAATCCTAAGTCAATATTAAAGTGCATTTGAGGACATATTGCTAAGAGTTTTCCTTATTCTGGGAAGGCACACTGGAACAACCACGTTTTCAGGCTCCTTCTAAAGACTGCCAGCGTTGGGGCATGTCTGATGTCCTTAGGGAGTGAATTCCAGAGTCAAAGGGCCACCACCGAGAAGGGCCTCTCCCTCGTCCCCACCAATCGCGCCTGTGAAGGAGGTGGGAGTGTGAGCAGGGCCTCTCCAGATGATCGAAGAGATCATGTGGGTTCGTACACAGAAATGCGGTCACGCAGGTAGGCGGGTCCCAAACCGTTCAGGGCTTTGTAGGTAAGAACCTGCACCTTGAATTGGGACCAGAAAATGAACGGCAGCCAGTGGAGCTACTTAAACAGGAGGGTTGACCACTCCCTGCAAGAAGCACCAGTTAGTAACCTGGCTACCGCCCATTGTACCAGTTGAAATTTCCAGGCCGTTTTCAAGGGCAGCCCCACATAGAGTGCATTACAGTAATCCAATCTGGAGGTGACAGTAATCCAATCTGGAGGTGACTATAATGATAATAACTTTATTTGTAACCTGCCCTATCTCCTCTAGGGGACTCGGGGTGGTTTCCAACAGAAAATGGCAAACATTCAATGCCAAAGATGAACAATAACCAATAAACAACCAAACAATAACAATAACAAAACAATATAAGAACTTAGAACAACAAAACAAGATATTCCTAGTAGTTAAATAGGACACACAGTATGCCTCTCTAGGAATTTCTAGATCTTCCAGCATGATTCTGTGATCTACTTCCACTGGAAGCTGAACACAGAATTACACTGCAGAACATAGACAGGTGTTCTCTCTAGAAAGCTCTAGGTCCTCCAGCATGGCTGAAGGAGGTTGCGGCACCGGGGGACTTAGAGATTCCTCAAGATAAGGTTTTCAATTAAATATGTGAATAATCAAATCCACCAAAGTCAAAAGCCCAAATGTGGAAGGAATGCATTCTAGACACTTCCAAGGATGCACTGTGCAAGTGGGCCTTGTGTGGGATTTTACAGAGGACCACTCAAAGAGCCACAGTTAGTAGTAGGCAACATAGTATTTCTTTATTCTGCCCCCCAGAAAGGGAGGAAGGACATTGCAGAAGGTTCTCCACCACAGCATGCAGAGCATAATTCCTAAGCACTATGGTTGCTCTTGCTACTAGTTGGAGGGAGCTGGTGGGGAAATGGCTGGACAGTGTCTGGCTGCAGTTCCATAGCTGGGGGTGGGGGGTGGGGGACAAATCAGGTCGATCTGCAGATCTCCACTGAGAGACCTCATTTTAATTCCCCTTGTGGTAAAATTCATGCTGCCTAGCATCCTTGCTAACTCCCCAAATGACTACTGCAGAATTCGGGGAACTTGAAAGCTTACTGGGATGAGAAGGTGACATTGTGTAAGGAACTAATGAATAGCTTCTTGTGCAACATCCACAACCAGACATAGGCATGTGTAACTCCAAGCAATGTGCACGTAGGTCACTACCAGGATTTTCGTCTGTGTTTGCCTAATCTCCAGTGGAATTCAAAAAGAATTCCAGAGATCAGGGTCCCCCACCGAATCCTTTCGACTCCTTCTTAAGAACAAACTACAAGTCATAGTTCATGATATCTGGAGCTGGACATTGTTACCAAAACTCACGTTAACCCTAGCCAGTCAATATGAGGGTTATTGTTCAAAATTTCTGGAGGACACTGTATTGCCTAGGCCTTGACAAAGGTGATGAAAGAGGCAGGAGATGAATTGTCACCTTGGAAAAGCCCTCTGTCGTATTTGCCTTCATTTTTCAATATTTTCTTCTGTGTTTTCTTCTAGGCTGTAAGAGGTGACTCAGAGAGATGATGCCTTTTTATGCTATACCTTCCTTCCTCACTTCACCACCACCTCCTCAATCCATGGAAGGTATGGCAACCTGAACAAGTCGCTGAACAAAAGAGCAACAGACTCATTTTTTTTTCTCCAGAATGAACCCAACACCCCAATAGCAAGAGCAGGTGGGACAACATTGGAAGTCCTACAAGAATGCTCTTCTGCGCTGCCTTCTGCAAACAACATTAGAAATGTGGGACACCATCTGGTCTTTGAACCCCTCCTGCTTTTTGCTCTTTCAACAGGAGCAATGAAGAGCTTCATTGGAGGGTCACCATTTCTTTGAAGTTGTGAGCAACACCTTCCCCAACTGACTTGGGTTTTATTCAAATTGAGTTTATTTACTGTGTTATCTTATTGTATATATTTGTAGATAAATGCTGCTGAATCTTTCCCCCTCCCCCAGTTAAAATGCCTAAAAGAGTTGCTGCAAAAGAGAGCAAGATTCCTGAACTATTGGTAATCCAGCTTTTAAAGGTGCAGTAATCCTGCACTCTTTTGCATCTGTTTGTCCTCGCAGCCGGTGAGGGTCCCCTGGTAGCAAATTCCTCATTTGAACATCCGAGAACTCAAATGGGGTTGATGAATTTGTGACCCTCCAGACATTGTTGGATCACAACCAGAGCTTGGCTTGGTGACTTTTGAGACTGCAACTCCCAGAATCCTCCAGCTAGCACAGCCAGTTGCTGTGTAAACTAGGGGGAATTCTGGGGGTTGCAGCCCTAAAGTCACCTCTGCAAACTCGGGCTGTAACTCCCATGCCTCTTCACACTCCACTGTGCTGGCTGGGGCTGATGGGAGCTTCAGCCCGGCAACCTTAAGTAGACCCTGCAGCCTTTGCCCCTGCCCTGCCCTTTGTGGTTATCAGTCTAGTCTTTGCAGTTGTGCTTGTTTCTTTGGCGTGTGGAACTGGTTGCTTTTCCAGCCTTCCTTGCTCTCTCTGTTGCTGCTTCCTTCTTGATTGTACGTGGCATATTCGGTGTCTCATGTAGGCGTGTGTCAGTGCTTGGAAATGTTACTTTTGTGGACTAGTGAGGAATTGTACAACCTGTCGCTCCTATAGCTAGCATTTCCATAGTCTCCTTCTAACCAGGAGCTGCTTTTGGCTGCTTAGATATTTGATCAGGCACGCATACATCCATCAGTGCTCTGCTAGATGGTGCGAACAATGTGACCTGTGTGCCAAGTGAGCTTGTGGAATCCTCCCCTTCTACCCCTGCTTCAGCTCCAGTTGCTGCCTGACTGAGGTTAGCAAGATGTAGGGTCCCAGAAATAGTGAAGGGGAAAGACAGGAGGAAAAACCTACCCCATTGGAGTAGTGGTGAGTGGGGTATGTTTGTCCTGTTTTTTCCCCAAGACTTTTATCTGGGCCTTTGCATCTGTCTTCTCAGCAGTTAGGACTCCCTCCCATCCATGTGTTTGTACTATAGCTGAACATTCAGACATCAGGCCAGCCTATTACTTCTGATGGAGGAGGTAGATGCTGCCCTGATGCTATAGTTGTTGTAAGGTTGCCTCTGTACATAGTTCTATGTTTCAGGAACATTTCAAACAGGTTGTTGTTTGAAATGACGTGTTACGGCATCTGACGATGCCTTGCTTACTAATGGGATAAGAGGGCTATTTTCTTCATCTTATAACCCCCCCCCCCCGGGGGGGGGAGGGACTCATTGTAGAAAGGAAACCAATAGGGTTCCAACATTTCATATTAGAATAGTGGCAGAATTTCTTCATATTTATTTATTTATTATTTATTTATTTAGATGCTATAGTTGCACCCTATATTTCCTCTGTTACGCTGTCATAACGTACATGGCTCTTCTTCTTCCAACCCTTGTAGCCAGCCGCTTAGCTGGGCCAGATTCTTGTTGCTAGGCCCACATTCACCACATCTGTCTCATGGTCAAGTGGGAGTTAAACCCTGGGTCTCGACCGTAATAGTCCAACCATGGCTTTTCAATGCTTTTGATATTTCTCTCTCAATCCCACGCCCAAAGAAAGCTACTTTCCAGTTTTCTTTCTCCTGATAGTCTGGTCTAATTTCTGCATGGCAATCACAGTGTTTCTTCCACAGTATGGGGGCACTGTAACAAGTGCAGAATTGCTGCTGGAGCCACATGGAGCAAGAAAACTGAAATGAAACAGTTTGGGGAGGGCAGAGGGGCGCAATTTGCTGCTGTGGCTAATGGTGAGCCCTTCCCTGAGAAAATGGAGAAATCCTTCCCTGCTAGACTCTAGTGCTTAACTCTCACTTGTTGACTCTGTCACTGTTGAGTCCAAGTCTTGGTTCTCCCCCAAGTTTCCGTGTCTTTGAGTTGTCTCTCCAAAGCTATGCTTTTCATTCCGTGCATCTCCTCTTGGGTCAGATCTGTGCGATGTGTCACAAATATTTTGCTAATCCCCAAGCCTTGGTAACACAGGGCAAGGATGGCAAAACCTTCATGTACATCAGAGGTCTTCCATGACCAGTCCGGATGGTTATAGGAGAGGTGAGGTTCGCTGACATTTCTTCGTTCCAGCCCTCACAGCAAGGAATCTGGCTGGTCCAACTGAAATGTTACGTATTTTGAAAGGAAATGGGGTAGGAAGTTGGCAAACACCAATTGCCTTCATAATCTGTTTAAGAGGTATGATTCCTTTGGTTGTTGTGGAAGCGGAAGGTGGGTGACTTTGGCAGCCTGGGGCCCACCATTTTAATCTTACAGGCTGCCCAAGCCCAGACATAATGGAAAAAAATGCCAAAAGGGCATGGCCAAAAGTAGCCTTCTGGCCTTATTTTATGAGTTGGGGGCATCATGTTCCCAATGTTCTCATGAAATCACTGTTTCTTTTGGCCTCCAGTAGCAAAAAAGCATTTAAAGCTGTTTAAAAGTGTTTTTGCAGCATGAGGGGACATTACAGGGTCCCTGGGAAGCCTTCGGGTGGCAAAAGTAGGCTTTGAGGGCTGCCTCTGGCTCTCTGGGCACCTTTGCCAACTCCTCAGTAGACACTCTGTAACTGTGGAATTTTACTCATTTCACTTGCTTGGGCTGAACCCAAACATCCATATTCTTTCAGACTAAAGAGGGATTCTCCCTTTTTGTGAGGGCAGGATAAGTGTTTCATAACTTTGTTCTCCATTTCCATCCTCTCATCATAGCTGAGTTGTTCTAACGGTGATTGCAACAATCATTCATCAGAGAGGTGCCATTCTTTCTTCTCTTGTAATGAAATCAAAAACTAAGCATGACCTGAGAGAATGAGGGTCGGAAGCTGCAACTCAATTTGACTTCAGGAGAAAGAATCCAATTAGGCAGGTCTGGCTGAGAACAAGGGTATGACTGCCTTTCCTCCATCAGAGTATTTCAGCCATGGACAAGTGATGCTCATGAGGAGCAGGGTACTCCATCTCTGCTAGCAGCGGGGGGAGACAAAGAACTTGACCCTCTGCAAAGCATGAATGAACAATTGCTAAAAGGGTTAGACAGTGTGTCCTCTGCCAATAGGGCAGGGCAAGGGAACATTTTCACAGTAGAATGCCCTCTTGCTTGGCAGGTACATTGGTTGGCAGCTGGAGGAGAATGTTGATGAAGGAGGGCAGACAGATAGACAGACAGAGGGACAGACAGACAGAAGTAGGTAGTATTAATTTTATTGATCAGTGCTTAGGGCATATCACAATACCAAACCAAACAACAAGGCTTGATAAGACCTGATTGCACTCTATGGGACAGAAGTAGGTATTTAACCCATGTCTTCTAGAAATCAATACTAAACCTCTTTCAAGTAAAAGACAGTTTTATTGCCCACTTCAATCCTTGGTAAATTTTCTTAGTGCAGAGATGAGACCTCTTTTTGGTTAAGAACCAAATTTGTGTATGGCAAGACTGCAACCATCTTGTCTCTAATACAATTTTTCTAAACTGCCTAAGTTTCCCTGTTTGCCTTCCATTATGCAGTGAAGAGCGCTGTCCTGTCACCGTTGTTGAAGGTCAGATTCATCTGCCAGCCACATTAACATCCACGTGTGCATTTGAGTGGGGGTGTGCCATCACCTCCTTGGCCTCAGGCAGCAAAATGACTTGGACCAGCCATGCTGGCATAGCCACCACATCTCTTAAAATCACATTCAGAAGACTTTTAAGGACATGACTAGGTGATCTTTCTCCTCAAATGCCTTGCCAAGGTGAACAGGTTTGCAGAGAGCCAGACAGGAATGTTCTCTGTGGATTCAAGAGCACTTGATATTCAGGAAGCAAAAGGAAGAAGCAGGAGGGAGCTTGTTTTGTTCACTTCTCTGCCCTATAAAAAGGTTAATTGCCAAATGGCACTTGGTTTGCATGGATCCCAGTGGTGTCTTTAGTTCTGGAAGGGCAGTATCTTTTGGAGAGTGACCAGCATCACAAGGCTGCTGCCATGAACATAAAGGCCTGCTTTAAATTTGTAGTGAATGTGTGCGTGTATACTTGTGTGCCTTTACTTGTACCCTTTTGCTGGATCCTTTTTTAAGTTAGATTTATGGAATGTGTAGAATGTGCACTGTATATTGAGAAAATGTACTTTGTGTATAGTATTGTATGTGATGTATTCTACTTTTCATAACCAAAGCAGCAGACAAGACAGGGTCGCATGTGGTAAGAACAGATGAGTTACGTGTGGTAAGGCCGGGCTATGGCACTTATGGCAGAATCACCGCAGCTGAAACAAGGCAGAGACTTTCAGGACCTTGGACAGAGCAGTCAGAGGCAGGTAGCCTGGTGGAGGAGAACTGTTTCTTCAGCAAAGTGCAAAGCCTTAAGGAAGGTTAGTCAGACTTGGCCTGCTTCTTTCGCCTGCCCCCAACCCCTTCCTGATCTCTCTTTTTATAGGACAGAGAAGTGAACAATAAAGGGGTTTTTATTGCTCAGTTTAGCCCAGGAGTATGTCTTCTGAGACCAGAATCCCATTAAGGAACTGCAAATAGAAAGGGGCATCCAAATGCAAGTTTGATTAATTTGGTGGTGCCTAGATCTCACACTATTGTTAGGCAGGTCAAATGAGTGCAGAAGTAAGAGTATTACAAAGACTGTTTTGTGCCCATTAAAGAGTGGTGCAGGTCCATCTTCCATTGTCAGTATCATGGGAAGGTTTACCAGCCCTCCTGGTCAGTTTGGTGCCCATGTTGCCCTTGATCTCAGGCAACAAACTGTCTTGGAAAGGCATTGATGGTGCTTCTTTTCAGTTCATGCACCCCAGTTCCATAACCTAAGTGAGGAAGAGGGTGAGGAAGCAGTCAGCAATGTTCTGCATGGGAGTAAGACAATAAGACTGAAGGAGACCATGGATTGCCCAACATCCAGCATCAATTCTCTTGGTCTTTTCCTCTTTTCCTTCAGGCAAGGGTGTCATTGGCATCACACAGCCTTATTTTTGAAAGTCATTGTTATTAATAACAAATCTTAATTTTCCCACCTTCCCTGATCTTTGTCTCTTAGGTCCCCATCACCCACTTCAACCCCAGCTTTTATCTGTAGATTTTTATCCGGTTTAAAAATAACTCGCTCTTCAAAACAGAGGATACAAGGGAAATAACCACAATACCATCTAATAGGAGATCCGCAGGAGTGACAGGGGTCATCCAGTAGCTTGGATTTATTAGCAAGCTCCATAGAGATGTGGGTTTATTTACAGATTTGCCAAGCAAGCTTTCCATCTTCTCCCCCACCCCCATTTCAGGCCCTTGCATCTGGCTTTGTCCATTCACACAATAGCTCCTATGCACAATGAGCAAAAGGAAACTGGGCACCCCAAATGCAGGGAAAAGATGAAGGATTTAATTTCTTTTGTTTTACATTTTAGGTAAGAGCTTTTTAAAAATGTTGGGAGTGCAAGATTTGGGTCATCTAATTCTGAGGAGCCTTTGGGGTTTGCTCAAAGGCTACTCGTTATTAAGACCTCCTGGTTCTTCAGAATTAGCTTAAAGAGCCAATGCAGTTCTTCATAGTATAGTGTCTAAGGGAAGTCATAGTCCCTCTCTATTCTGCTTTGGTCAGACCTCAACTGGAATAACCCTGGGTCTAGTACTGAGCACCACAATTCAAGAAGGAGATGGACAAGATGGAACAAAAAAGGTTTAAGGTCTGGAAACTATGAATCCCTATGAGGAGCAGCTTAGAGAATTGAGGATGTTTAGCCTGGAGAAGAGAATGTTCAAAGGAGACAAAATAGCCATTTTTAAATATTTGAAAGAATTTCATGTTGTTTTCTGCTGTCAGAGACCAGGACATGAAGCAATTGATTCAAATTACAGGGAAAGTATTTGTTTTCTGGTCTTCTATCACCTATCTTCTTTTATATTCATCGTCTTCATCTTTATATTTTAAGGGCTGTCCACCCTTCTCCTGTTAAAATTATATTAGTATTTCCATTTTTTCTTGTTCCATAGTCTTCATTAATAGATTCAAATCCCACGAAGTAGAAGATGGGATGTCAACCAGCCCCCAACCCTATTTTTTCCGTAAGCTATCCTTCCCTATTTCCCTGGTCTTTCCTTACCCCATAACCCACCCCTTTTAAAATTCATTTATCTTGTCTCACCACCCTTCTCCTTCAACCCCCTTCCCTAGATCTTCCCTATACATACCATCCCCATCTTTCCTTTTTTCTTACCCTTCCCCATTACCTTTTTATGTTATTTGGAAAATTCTTGAATAAATATATATATAATGTTTTTTAAAAAATTACAGGGAAAGAAAGTGCACCTAAACATTAGGAAGCGCTTCCTGATGGTAGGAACAATTCAGCTATGGAACAGGCTCCCTGGTGGAGACTGAATGGCTTTTGGAGTACTTGGATTGCGTCTTCTTTCCTGGCAGAATGGGGTTGGACTGGATGGCCCTGGAGGTCTCCTCCAACTCTAGGATTCTATTATTATAGTTGTGTGAGAACACAGGGCAATGGATTCAAATTACAGGGAAAGGGTTTGTTTTCCGGTCTTCTATCATCGATCTTCTTTTATATTCATCCTTTTCATCTTTATATTTTAAGGGCTGTCCACCCTTTTCTTGTTAAAATTATATTAGAATTTCCATTTTTTCGTATTCCATAAACTTCATTAATGGATTCAAATCCTACGAAGTAGAATATGAGGAGTCAACCAACCCCCACACCTATTTTTTTTCCATAAGCTATCCTTCCCTATTTCCCTAGTCTTTCCTTACCCCATAACCCACCCCTTTTAAAATTTATTTGACTTGTCTCACCACCCTTCACCTTCAACTCCCCTTCCCTAGATCTTCCCCATACATACCGTCCCCATCTTTCCTTTTGTTTCTTACCCTTCCCCATTACCTTTTTCAGTTATTTGGAAAATTCTTGAATAAAGATATATAAAATTTGTTAAACATATTACAAGGAAAGTAAGTCCACCTAAACATTAGAAAGTGCTTCTTGATGGTAGGAACAATTCAGCTATGGAATAGGCTCCCTGGTGGAGACTGAATGGCTTTTGGAGTACTTGGATTGCGTCTTCTTTCCTGGCAGAATGGGGTTGGACTGGATGGCCCTGGAGGTCTCCTCCAACTCTAGGATTCTATTATTATAGTTGTGTGAGAACACAGGGCAATGGATTCAAATTACAGGGAAAGGGTTTGTTTTCTGGTCTTCTATCATCTATCTTCTTTTATATTCATCGTCTTCATCTTTATATTTTAAGGGCTGTCCACCCTTCTCCTGTTAAAATTATATGAGGATTTCCATTTTTTCGTGTTCCATAAACTTCATTAATGGATTCAAATCCCACAAAGTAGAAGATGGGAAGTCAACCAACCCCCCACCTATTTTTTCTGTAAGCTAACCTTTACTATTTCCCTGGTTTCTCCTTACCCCATAACCCACCCCTTTTTAAATTAATTTAACTTGTCTCACCACCCTTCTCCTTCTACTCACCCCCTTCCCTAGATCTTCCCTATACATACCGTCCCCATCTTTCCTTTTTTTCCTTTACCCTTTCCCATTACCTTTTTATGTTATTTGGAAAATTCTTGAATAAATATATATATAAACTTTAAAAAACAACAGGGAAAGAAAGTCCACCTAAACATTAGGAAGCGCTTCCTGATGGTAGGAACAATTCAGCTATGGAATAGGCTCCCTGGTGGAGACTGAATGACTTTTGGAGTACTTGGATTGCATCTTCTTTCCTGGCAGAATGGGGTTGGACTGGATGGCCCTGGAGGTCTCCTCCAACTCTAGGATTCTATTATATTTGTGTGAGAACACAGGGCAATAGATTCAAAATACAGGGAAACGGTTTGTTTTCCGGTCTTCTATCATCTGTCTTCTTTTATATTCGTCCTCTTCATCTTTATATTTTAAGGGCTGTCCACCCTTCTCCTGTTAAAATTATATTAGTATTTCCATTTTTTCTTGTTCCATAATCTTCATTAATAGATTCAAATCCCACGAAGTAGAGGTTGGGATGTCAACCAACCCCCAACCCTATTTTTTCCTTACGCTATCCTTCTCTAATTCCCTAGTCTTTCCTTACCACATAATCCACCCCTTTATAAATTCATTTATCTTGTCTCACCACCCTTCTCTTCCCCGCCCCTTCCCTAGATCTTCCCTATACATACCATCTCCATATTTCCTTTTTATCTTACCCTTCCCCATTACCTTTTTTATGTTATTTGGAAAATTCTTGAATAAATATATATAAAATTGTTTTTAAAATTACAGGGAAAAAAGTCCACCTAAACATTAGATAGTCCTTCT